TTCCATAGCGGGAGAAATGAAATTTGGAAAAATATATTCTGCGACTGATATGGAGAAAATAAAGAGCATCACATCATTTGTCGGGTGGAAGTTTGTTAACAGAAGCATCACAAGACGAAAATTTTCGTAATGACGTCGTCAACGACAACGATGACGACGACAACGGTAGAACGTGTCGGAAAAATTCGTGTAAATTATCCGGTGGAGGTTTGATGGAACGGGACGATGGATTTCTCATCGATGATTCTCATTGTCACGTTTTAGCAAATCAAATATCACCTTCGACACCTCTCACGTTCGATTTGACGTCACCGCAAAACGTCATTAATTGTTGCGTGAGTGAAAGGAGGAGGAGGAGGGGGATGAGTGATATTGTTGTCGGTAATACCAAGAGTTCTGAAATAGAAAGTACAAATCCATTTAAAAACTTTATCGTTAATAATAATAATAATAATAATGACTTTGTAGAAAATGAAAAACCGTTTTCGCCCACGAATCCGTTCAGTGATTTATGTGCATCATCTAGTCCAAATAGATTTTCTCAAATCGAATACAATCCTCCGATACGATATGAAAATATAATAATACCTCATAAATCGTTTTCGCAATGTTCCACACGTCCAGCTAGTCCAGTATTAAGAAATGTTAATAATAATAATAATAATAAAGAAGAATCGACCATATCGAATCCGTTTTTAATAAATGATACTAGTCAAGACTCGATACTATTCGATACTCGAACGTCTAAATTATTCATAAAAGACTCTTTACAATCAGATCAATCGGGATCCTCGTTGAAAAATCATAGTTCCTTTATATTTGCCGTCCCGGTTCTTTCTCTCATTTCTCCACAAAGCAGCATAACGAATTCAACGAGCACGCAAACAACGGGAGATATCGAAGAGATGGAAAAAATCCCCAAACGTAGTAAAGAATCCCCTCCTCCCGTGTATCAAAATTTAACGAATCAATTAGAGAAATTTATAAAAATGAACGATCATTCCGACTACGATCTCATGTGTTTGAAAACAACGGTGAAAGATTTGAGAACTTCCGGTTGGTATTATGAAAACGTGAGCTGGCAAGAAAGTGTTATACTTCTCAAAGACACGGATCCGGGTACTTTTCTGATAAGGGATTCGAGCGATCCCAATTTTTTATTCTCTCTCAGCGTTCAAACGTCTCGAGGACCCACGAGCGTTCGTTTGCACTACGTCAACGGTCATTTTCGTTTGGATGCAGAAGAGAAATTAATACCTCACATGCCATCGTTTGGTTCCGTCATAGAACTCATTGATTACTATGTCGAAAACACGGTCAAAAATAAAACGACGAGTAAAAAAAACGGACAGAAAACTAAACAACAACAACAACAACAACAACAACAATGGATGCAAAAATCAAAGGATCAAGTTTGGATCGATTCGCAGGGTAACGTTTATTCAAACATTTTACTCGTTAAACCCCTTTACAAAAAGGATCATTTTTCGAGTCTTCAACATTTGGCAAGGTTAACGATTAATTTCCGTTTGAAAAAAAGGCTCAACGTTAAAATAAAAAATAATAATAATTTTAAAGTGACTCCCGTTTACGAATCCTCACCCTTTCAAGATTCCACTTCCTTTTTTCAATATCAAAATAATTTCGAGAGTTTTTGTCCGATTTTAAGCGCGAACGCTTTACCCATACCACCGAAATTAATCGAATACCTTCAAGATTATCCATATTGTCATTAACTTGAAAAACTTTTCTAGAAGCTTCGAACCTAGTGATTTTAGAGCATAAATTATTATTATTATTATTATTATTACACATCGTTTGTTTAAATAAACGTGGAATTAGATGATTGATTAAAGATTGAAAAGTGGGTGACAAGAGTATTACAAATAAAAAATAATAATAAGCAATTTTTTTTTTTTTTTTGTTTCCCTTCCCATTTTCCGAACGGGTTTCGAAAAGTGTGACGTCATCCGTTTCATCATTTTTTTCTTTTGTTATTTATTATTAAAAATTAATAAGTTTTATTTTTTTTTTTTATTTATGTATATTATTTAAAATTATCGAAATCAAAGAAAACGATTAATCAATCAAAGTCAAAAACAAAATTTTTTTTTTTTTAAATCGCGTAAATTTATTATTATTATTATCGTGAAGTTATTGTTAATATTATTATCATCATCATCATTTACGCATTATTATTATTATTATTATTATTAATGATGGTGTACCGACAAATCATTGAATCGTTTATTAACGTCATTTTATTTATTTAAATGAAAAGCAAGAGAAAAAAAAAATAAAAAACTTTCCGGGTTTTAGTCAAATAAAAAGAAAAGAAAAAAACGGTTGGCAATCCTGTTTGTTAGCAGGCAATCCTTTTGTTGGCAATCCTGTTTTGTTGTTTTTTTTATTTTTATTCGAAAAAAAAAAACAAATAAATCTGATTAAATTATTATTGTTATTAATAATATAACAATGTCTCCAAATGATACACGTATAAATTTTCAAATCGTTCAACATGTAAATTCCCACATTTATGTGACGTCATTATTAATTTCACACACCTTAAACCTATGACGTCAAAAAAAAAAGGAGGGGAAGAAAAATATCAATACGTACTAAATTAACGTTTAGAATTTATTCAGTCAAATTTTTTTTTTTTTTGTCTAATCGCAGAAAGGTACGAAACGAAATTAATAAATAAATACACGTACCTATTATTAATAATAATAATAATATTACTAATTATAATGATAATGATGATGATAAATTTGAATAAATTTTTTGTTTTTTTTAAACACAAAATTGTTAATTTTTAAAATATCAAAAAAATTAAATACAATGCCTTTTCCTTTTTTTTTTTTTTTTGTTAAATGTAAAAGTTAAACAAAAACATAAATAAATAAATAAAAAATAAACAAATTATTTAAAATTATTTCGTTTTATTTATTTATTTTTTTTTCCCCCGAAAAAAACAAAAAAAAAAAAACTGCTGACACGACACGTTGCATATAAATTCATTCATTCATTCATCGTTGCATTCATTCATTCATTCATTTTATCAGAAAAATTTATGAAAGAAAAAAAAATAATAATAATAAATAATTTTCACGAGGGTTCCTCTTGTTGTTGATGTTGTTGTTGTTGTTGTTATTGTTTTTGTTTTTGTTGTTGTTGTTATTGTTTTTGTTTTTGTTGTTGTTGTTATGCTGCATAAACGTGGAAAAAATAAAATTGTGACGTCACAAAAAAAACATGAAAGTAAATTTTTTTTTTTCTTTCGCTATTATATCCATGAGAAATCTTTGATAAAAAAAACAAAATCTAATTTCTTTTATATTATATATTTATATTATTATTATTATATATATTATGTTTAAATATAAACAAATTGAAATATATCAAAAAGGTTTTCTATTCGTATAATAATAATAATAGTAATAATATGAAAGAATATACGAATAAATTTTGTCATATTGAATTCTTAATAAAATTAAATTATTATTATTATTATTGTTTTTTTTTCGGGGGAGAGGGGAAGAGGGGGGTTTCAAACGTCATTTTCAAATATCGACGGTAAATTCACAGAATAATAATAATAATAGGGTGAAATATAATTCCGCTATAACGTTTTTGATTTAAATATAATAAAACGTTTGCAACGAGACGATCGGAAAAAAGGTTGAGGAAAATTTTTTTTTTCCGTTACCTTTATTTAACCTTTAACCTTTCCGTTTTTTTTTTTTTTTTTTAATTTATTATTTTTCATTCATTCATTCATTTCGTTTTTTGATTTTTTCGAACAAAAAAAAATTTTTTAAATGCACGCAAACACGCACGTCCGCACGCACGTGTGTCATAAATAAAAAAAAATCGTTCAACGAAATTTATTTTATTTTTCGCTTTTCCGTACGTTAATATTAAAATTTTCCGCCATTTTGTTTTGTTTTGTTGTTGTTGTTGAAATTCAAAATGGTGGTAAATATTAAGCCTTGAGGATTCTGAATTTTTTTTGTTTGTTTGTATTCATTGTTGTGCTAATCCCCAAGGGGAGAGAGTGAGAGAGAGAAAAAAAATCACGTTATTATTATTATTATTATTATTATTATTATTATTATTATTATTATTATTATTTTATTGTGAGCGTGTTATTTTCTTAGAAATAATAAATTAAATTTATACAAAAAAAATTTTTTTTGTTTTGTTTTGTGTGTGTTTGTGAAGGTTACATGCACCTGCATAATGCACCAAGTTTTAAGGTTCGAAGTTATGGAAAAAAAAAAAAAAATTCAAAATGAGGTTCATGACGATTATAACAATGACGTCAAATTTATTATTTAAAAAAAAAAAAAATTTTTTTATTTAATCTCATAACGTGATCGGCCATTTTTAATTTTTATTTATTGTTATTCGTAAATTTGTGTCATTTTTTTTTTTGTGTTTAAAACAAAACGAAACCAGTTTTCCGGTTACGAAGGACGATTATATATTATTACGTCACTTATGACGTCATTTTTTAATTTTCCACCGAACCTTTTTGTTATTTAAAAAACGTTACTTTTATTTTTCTTTACTCGTACCAAATTTTCCGATGGGAGGGTGAGGAAAAGGCTTCGAAAATTTAACAAAAAGAAAAAGGAAAACCACGTGATCGACTTTAATAAAATCTTACGTAAGTAAAAACATTATTATTATTATTATTATTATTATTATTATTATTATTATTATTATTATTATTATTATTACAGTGAAAAAAAAAAAAAAAAATTCGTTTCAATTTTTTTTTTTTTTTTTAAATTTTCGAATGCGAGATTTTCTTTTCGTATCTTTCTACCCCCCTTTCTCTTCCTTCCTCTTCCTGCCCCCCGACTTTTCCTTTAAATTTTTTTTGTTTTTTCTCCCAATTTTAATTTAATTAAAAAAAAAAAAAAATTTCTCAGAATAAAAAAAAGAAAATGTCGAGGGAATAAAAAAAAAAAGCAGACGAAATTTTTTTCCCCCAATTTTTCCCATTCTCGTTATTATTTTACTTTTTTGATTTTTACATCATTATTATTATTATTATTAATGTATTTATTACGTAATTTTTATTATAAAAAAATATTAAATTTAAATAATAATAATAATTATATTTGCGATAAATAAATAAATAAATTGAATTAATTTCGGAGAGAAAGTTAATAAAAATGAAGACAAAATGTCTAGAATGTTTTTTTTTTTTTAAAGTGGGAGTAGAATTCAGTTATTTAAAAACGTGTTCATTCCTAATTTGGAATGTGACGAGAATTAATAAAAAAAATGGCGAATATTAATAAATAAAAAAAACAACCGTGACTAACGATTTTTAAGGACGTTATAAAAAAAATTTCCACGTGGCAGTTGGGAAAACGTTTACGTATTGTGATTTTTGAGCTTTTACCCCTCCTCATCCTCCTCTCCCCCCTCGATTTTCCCGTTTCTAATACTTAAGAAAAAGAAAAGAAAAAAACTTTGACCGTGAATGGATTTTGATGATTCATACAAAAAAATTTGATCAGCATCAATTGTGTCTCTATTGACATAAACTTTTTCCATTCATAACTTTTTTTTTTCGAATCATTTCGCCATTGAATTCTTCCAACTTTTTTTCTTTTCTTTTTTCTACAGCAGAAAATTCATTCAACATTTTTCTTTTTTAAAAAAAAATTATTTATGTCGTTCTCTCCCAAAAAAAAAAAAATCAATAAAATCAATAAATCGATAAATTTTCTTTAAAAGATCCCTTTAACATAAACAATAAATTTTTATTTCATCGTAAAATATTTGTCGAAAAAAAAAAAAAAAGAAAAGACAAATTACCGGAAATGAAAAAAATTTCAATCGTACCAACAGAACAAAACAAAAAAAAAATTTTTTTTTTTAAGTTGGAAACGTGAACGTCGACGACGACAAACAAACAAACGTTGAATAAATTCATATTAAAAAAAACGAGAAAAATAATTTTCAAAGGAAAAAAACAAAACAAAAGAATATGGAAAATGGTTGGAGGGAGGGGTAGTGGGGGGAAGGTAAGAGAAAGATTTTTTACAACAATTCTTAGAAGGGAAAACAAAACAAAAAAAAAAATTCAAAAACAAATCTCGATTCAAATGTAAATTAATTCATTTAAAACAAACATTAATGAACCTAAGTTTTTTTTCTTGTTTTTTTCTTGTGCGATTTATAATCCATCCGAGTAATTTATTCACGATTATTATTCGTCTGCTAGGGAATCCATTTTGTTTTTTTTTTTTTTTTACACGAACAACGTTTGTCGTCGGTTGTCGGTTGTCGTACATAAGATTTGATAATTAATGTGACCTCTTACGAGTGGTTTGTTCCCGTTTGTTCTTAAGTAAATTTTTTTTTTTTTCGTAAATTACGTTTGTAAGGGTCGATAGTTAGCACAATCGAAAATTGTTCTGTTAATTTTCCCAAATGGAGATTTCCGGTTACGTCACTGGAAAAATCATTTTTAACTCGTTAAAATTGGAATTACATAAAATATTATAAGTACTTCTGGATAATTTAAAATCGTCGAAACAAAAAAAAAAAATTATTATTATTATTATTACGTTTCAGGACTGAAGGTTTTTTTTTTTTTGTTCAATAACAGACTAATTGACATTTGACCCCTAAAAGAAAATTTTTCCACAATAATAATAATAATAATTTTCGTTGAAAATACTTTTAAAAAAAAAAAAAATATATTTTCATG